GTTGGGTTGGGTTCCTCACCACCATCCTGTGTCCTTGATGGCTCTTGGGGACGTTGGAGGGGGGTTGGGTTGGGTTCCTCACCACTATCGTGTGTCCTTGATGGCCCCTGGGGATGTTGGGTTGGGTTCCTCACCACCGTCCCATGTCCTTGATGGCCCTCAGGTCCCTTGGGGACGTTGGGTTGGGTTCCTCACCACCATTCCATGTCCTTGATGGCCCTCAGGGCCCTTGGGACATTGAGTTGGGTTCCTCACCACCATCCCATGTCCTTGATGGCCCTTGGGGATGTTGGGTTGGGTTCCTCACCACCATCCCATGTTCTTGATGGCCCTTGGGGACATTGGAGGGGGGTTGGGTTGGGTTCCTCACCACCATCCCGTGTCTGTGATGGCCCCTGGGGACATTGGGTTGGGTTCCTCACCACCATCCCATGTCCTTGATGGCCCTTGGGCACGTTGGGGTGGGTTGGGTTCCTCACCCCCATCTCCTTGATGGCCCTTGGGGACGTTGGAGGGGGGTTGGGTTGGGCTGGGTTCCTCACCACCACCCCGTGTCCTTGATGGCCCCTGGGGACATTGGAGGGGGGTTGGGTCCCTTGCTGCCACCCTCTGTCCTTGATGGCCTTTGGGGACATTGGAGGGGGTTGGGTTGGGTTCCTCACCACCAGCCCATGTCCTTGGTGGCCCTTGGGGACATTGGAGGGGGGCTGGGTCCCTTGCTGCCACCCTCTGTCCTTCTTGATGGCCCTTGGGGACGTTGGGGACTTTGGAGGGGGTTGGGTTGGGTCCCTCAGCACCATCCCGTGTCCTTGGTGGCCCTTGGGGACGTTGGGTTGGGTCGCTCACTGCCATCCCGTGTCCCTCCTGGTGGCCCTTGGGGACCCTGGAGCTGGTTTGGGTCCCTCCCCGCTGTCCCAGGTCCCTCCTGGTGGCCCTCAGTGTCTCTCGGGGCCACCCGAGGTGGTTGCTGTCACTATAAACCTTCACTTGTCCCTCCTGGTGGCCCTTGGGTCTTCTTTTAGGGGGTTGGGGACGCCTGGGTGATGGCCCCTGGGGACATCGGAGGGGGGTTGGGTCCCTTGCTGCCACCCTGTGTCCTTGATGGCCTTTGGGGATGTTGGGGGTGGTTTGGGTCCCTTGCCACTGTCCCATGTCCTCCTTGATGGCCCCTGGGGACATTGGGGACACTGGGGGTGGTTTGGGTCCCTTGCCACCATCCCATGTCCTTGATGGCCCTTGGGGACGTTGGGGACATTGGAGGGGGGTTGGGTCAGGTCTGGTCTCTTGCCACCACCCTGTGTCCCTCCTTGATGTCCCTTGGGGACGTGGGGGTGGTTTGGGTCCCTCACCACCATCCCATGTCCTTCTTGGTGGCCCTTGGGGACATTGGAGGGGGGCTGGGTCAGGTCTGGTCTCTTGCCACCACCCTGTGTCCCTCCTTCATGTCCCTTGGGGACGTTGGGGGTGGTTTGGGTCCCTCACCACCATCCCATGTCCTTCTTGGTGGCCCTTGGGGACATTAGGGGTGGTTTCGGTCCCTTGCCACCATCCTGTGTCCTTCTCTGTGGCCCTTGGGAACGTTGGGGGTGGTTTGGGTCCCTCACCACCATCCCATGTCCTTTTTGGTGGCCCTTGGGGACGTTGGGGATGTTGTGGGTGGTTTGGGTCCCTTGCCGCCGTCCCATGTCCCTCCTGATGGCCCTTGGGGACGTTGGGTTGGGTTCCTCACCACCATCCCATGTCCTTGATGGCACCTGGGGACATTGGAGGTGGTTGGGTTGGGTTCCTCACCACCGTCCCATGTCCTTGATGGCTCTTGGGGATGTTGGGGACATTGGAGGGGGGTTGGGTCAGGTCTGGTCCCTTGCCACCACCCTCTGTCCCTCCTTGATGGCCCTTGGGGACGTTGGAGGGGGGTTGGGTCCCTCACTGCCACCCCATGTCCTCCTTGATGGCCCTTGGGAACGTTGGAGGTGGTTTGGGGCCCTCACCACCATCCCATGTCCTTCTTGGTGGCCCTTGGGAACGTTGGAGGTGGTTTGGGGCCCTCACCACCATCCCATGTCCTTCTTGGTGGCCCTTGGGAACGTTGGAGGTGGTTTGGGGCCCTCACCACCATCCCATGTCCTTCTTGGTGGCCCTTGGGAACGTTGGAGGTGGTTTGGGGCCCTCACCACCATCCCATGTCCTTCTTGGTGGCCCTTGGGAACGTTGGAGGTGGTTTGGGGCCCTCACCACCATCCCATGTCCTTCTTGGTGGCCCTTGGGAACGTTGGAGGTGGTTTGGGGCCCTCACCACCATCCCATGTCCTTCTTGGTGGCCCTTGGGAACGTTGGAGGTGGTTTGGGGCCCTCACCACCATCCCATGTCCTTCTTGGTGGCCCTTGGGAACGTTGGAGGTGGTTTGGGGCCCTCACCACCATCCCATGTCCTTCTTGGTGGCCCTTGGGAACGTTGGAGGTGGTTTGGGGCCCTCACCACCATCCCATGTCCTTCTTGGTGGCCCTTGGGAACGTTGGAGGTGGTTTGGGGCCCTCACCACCATCCCATGTCCTTCTTGGTGGCCCTTGGGAACGTTGGAGGTGGTTTGGGGCCCTCACCACCATCCCATGTCCTTCTTGGTGGCCCTTGGGAACGTTGGAGGTGGTTTGGGGCCCTCACCACCATCCCATGTCCTTCTTGGTGGCCCTTGGGAACGTTGGAGGTGGTTTGGGGCCCTCACCACCATCCCATGTCCTTCTTGGTGGCCCTTGGGAACGTTGGAGGTGGTTTGGGGCCCTCACCACCATCCCATGTCCTTCTTGGTGGCCCTTGGGAACGTTGGAGGTGGTTTGGGGCCCTCACCACCATCCCATGTCCTTCTTGGTGGCCCTTGGGAACGTTGGAGGTGGTTTGGGGCCCTCACCACCATCCCATGTCCTTCTTGGTGGCCCTTGGGAACGTTGGAGGTGGTTTGGGGCCCTCACCACCATCCCATGTCCTTCTTGGTGGCCCTTGGGAACGTTGGAGGTGGTTTGGGGCCCTCACCACCATCCCATGTCCTTCTTGGTGGCCCTTGGGAACGTTGGAGGTGGTTTGGGGCCCTCACCACCATCCCATGTCCTTCTTGGTGGCCCTTGGGAACGTTGGAGGTGGTTTGGGGCCCTCACCACCATCCCATGTCCTTCTTGGTGGCCCTTGGGAACGTTGGAGGTGGTTTGGGGCCCTCACCACCATCCCATGTCCTTCTTGGTGGCCCTTGGGAACGTTGGAGGTGGTTTGGGGCCCTCACCACCATCCCATGTCCTTCTTGGTGGCCCTTGGGAACGTTGGAGGTGGTTTGGGGCCCTCACCACCATCCCATGTCCTTCTTGGTGGCCCTTGGGAACGTTGGAGGTGGTTTGGGGCCCTCACCACCATCCCATGTCCTTCTTGGTGGCCCTTGGGAACGTTGGAGGTGGTTTGGGGCCCTCACCACCATCCCATGTCCTTCTTGGTGGCCCTTGGGAACGTTGGAGGTGGTTTGGGGCCCTCACCACCATCCCATGTCCTTCTTGGTGGCCCTTGGGAACGTTGGAGGTGGTTTGGGGCCCTCACCACCATCCCATGTCCTTCTTGGTGGCCCTTGGGAACGTTGGAGGTGGTTTGGGGCCCTCACCACCATCCCATGTCCTTCTTGGTGGCCCTTGGGAACGTTGGAGGTGGTTTGGGGCCCTCACCACCATCCCATGTCCTTCTTGGTGGCCCTTGGGAACGTTGGAGGTGGTTTGGGGCCCTCACCACCATCCCATGTCCTTCTTGGTGGCCCTTGGGAACGTTGGAGGTGGTTTGGGGCCCTCACCACCATCCCATGTCCTTCTTGGTGGCCCTTGGGAACGTTGGAGGTGGTTTGGGGCCCTCACCACCATCCCATGTCCTTCTTGGTGGCCCTTGGGAACGTTGGAGGTGGTTTGGGGCCCTCACCACCATCCCATGTCCTTCTTGGTGGCCCTTGGGAACGTTGGAGGTGGTTTGGGGCCCTCACCACCATCCCATGTCCTTCTTGGTGGCCCTTGGGAACGTTGGAGGTGGTTTGGGGCCCTCACCACCATCCCATGTCCTTCTTGGTGGCCCTTGGGAACGTTGGAGGTGGTTTGGGGCCCTCACCACCATCCCATGTCCTTCTTGGTGGCCCTTGGGAACGTTGGAGGTGGTTTGGGGCCCTCACCACCATCCCATGTCCTTCTTGGTGGCCCTTGGGAACGTTGGAGGTGGTTTGGGGCCCTCACCACCATCCCATGTCCTTCTTGGTGGCCCTTGGGAACGTTGGAGGTGGTTTGGGGCCCTCACCACCATCCCATGTCCTTCTTGGTGGCCCTTGGGAACGTTGGAGGTGGTTTGGGGCCCTCACCACCATCCCATGTCCTTCTTGGTGGCCCTTGGGAACGTTGGAGGTGGTTTGGGGCCCTCACCACCATCCCATGTCCTTCTTGGTGGCCCTTGGGAACGTTGGAGGTGGTTTGGGGCCCTCACCACCATCCCATGTCCTTCTTGGTGGCCCTTGGGAACGTTGGAGGTGGTTTGGGGCCCTCACCACCATCCCATGTCCTTCTTGGTGGCCCTTGGGAACGTTGGAGGTGGTTTGGGGCCCTCACCACCATCCCATGTCCTTCTTGGTGGCCCTTGGGAACGTTGGAGGTGGTTTGGGGCCCTCACCACCATCCCATGTCCTTCTTGGTGGCCCTTGGGAACGTTGGAGGTGGTTTGGGGCCCTCA